ATAAATTCTATGATATAATTATTATTTGAATTAAATAAATTAACAAATTTGATAAGATTTTAATTAAATATTAATGAATATTATCAATAAAATTTATGAATCACAAATAATTAAAGCAGTAATCAATTTTAAAGGAATTTGACAGTATTTGCCCTTTATAAACACCATATTTGAAAACGTCTGTAAACGTTTTTTTTTTTCAGAAATGACAATAAAAATAAATATTTAATTTATGATAACGTACTATTCAAACAGGGTCTAATTATTCCGTGATGGTGAAACAGTATTATTTGTCAAAAACAATAGAAAGGTGAGTTGAGTGACTAAAACAAAAGAGAAACTTTTGATAAAATCTAAAAATGGCAGAGACTACCGGCGATCAGTCCCACTCAATAAAGTTACCACCTGCAGTTGAAGTATTTGCAAATTTAAAAAACGCACAAAAATTTGCGATTGACATAGGTAAGTGTTAAATATCTATCATCATCTTTAAACTTTTGGTTACTCACAATTCTTTTATTATCAGTTTTGAAGATTTTAAAAGGTTAGATTTAACCAACCAAGTATTGTCATTATTTCTAAAAAAATTAATAATAACTTTTACATTTTAATTAAATATTCTTTTGTTTTTTTTTGTTATACGAATAATCGTTAATTATATATATATATATATACATTATGTTGTGATAAAAATAATCCAAGAGTGCTTGTGTATAAATTTAGAAAAAGATCTATATATATAGTTCATTATATTATGTATTATCTGTCTATTTACATTTATATTGTTTAATTTGAAAAAAAGTAAAGTTTAGAATTAAATATTTAATTATTTTAATTTATTTTAATTTATTTTAATTTATTGTAATTTATTTTAATATTTCAGGTGTTTCGTTGACCAAAATAGCATACTATTCGACAATTAGTTATCGCAAGGCATTATACGATAATATTGGTTTGGGAAATACTGGAGAACGAGCATACAAAGTATTTGAAGGAAATAGACTCCACTTTGTTAAATTTGAAACAAGACATTTTGCGAACTGCTTGGATTTTGTTAAAGAAAATTTAGTAAATGTTGAGCAATTTCATGGAAAAAGTATTAAAGTAACAGGAGGTAGAGCTTATAAATATACACCACTCTTACAGGAAAAGCTAGGTTTAATGTAAGCATTTAAATAATGCTAAACCTTACTTGAACATGTCTTTTAAAATATAAATACAATTTAACATCGTTATGAAGTTCTATGACAAAAGTTAAGATATTTATTTAGAGTTGACAAAGAAGATGAAGTACGCTGTCTAATAAAGGGTTGTAATTTCTTACTGAAACATATACCGTGTGAGGCATTTGAATTTGAAAGACATGGAAATCCTGAATATAAATTTCGAAAAACAGGTCCTAATATTTTCCCTTATATGCTTGTTAACATTGGAAATGGAGTTAGCATTTTTAAAGTAAGTTTTAATTTATATATGTTATATAAATTATTATTTTATATATACATATATACCTTTATGTAATATAATAATTATAATAATTATAGGTACAATCAGATGAAATATTCGAAAGAGTTGGTGGTACAGCTACAGGTGGAGGTACATTTTGGGGATTAGGCTCATTACTTACTAATGGAAAGGTAATATATATTGAAATCAAATAATCATACATATATATTCTATTTAAATAATTATTTATATACAATTCATTTTATTATTTACTCATTTTTATTATTTGTCATCTTCATATTGTCTATAATCTCTCATATTGTAATATAATCTATATTACATAAGTATCTATCTATGTATAAATATACATTAAGACAAATTTTTTAAAATCTACCAGGACTTTGATGAATTGCTGCAACTTGCAGAACGAGGAGACCATCGTAATGTAGATATGCTGGTAAAAGATATTTACGGAGGTGATTATACTTCCCAAGGATTATCAGGAGAACTTATTGCATCGTCTTTTGGAAAGGCAATGTTTGATAGCAACAACCGTGGTAAAAAAAAAAATATTTGTATCTGTTTAAACTATGCACAAGAAACTTTTTGTTCAAATTAATATAAGTCAATATTTCAGTAGAACAAAAATTCTCAGAAGCTGATATTGCAAGAAGTCTCTTGCTAACAATAAGCAACGACATCGGACAAATAGCTAGTTTGTATGCGACTCTACATAATATGGATAAAGTATATTTTGGAGGCTATTTTCTTCGAAACCATCCTCTTTCAATGTATACTATTTCTTATTCCATCAAGTATTGGTCCAATGTTAGTTCTAATATAATATTAATATATAACTTTTATACTTCTATTCTACTTTATTGTTTAGTTATAATTTCTTTACGATAGTCATATTTATTATTTTGAAGAAATACTGTAAGTTAATACATTTTTTTTATCTTTAATTTCTTTTTTATACAGGGGAAAGTTAAACCACTTTTTCTTCGTCATGAAGGATACCTTGGAGCAATTGGTGCATTTCTATATGGTGCAGAACAGCCAGATGAACATAGTTGGTTAGAAAATTATGCTGGTTCTTCTGGTTTTAAAGATTCAATACCTTCTGATCTTGGAATTAAAGTAGAACAATTAGAAATTGATCAAATTGAACATGCTGTTACATTCTGTCCATTATTAAAAGATCCAACATTGTATAATCCAGACACAACAGATCTTGTTGAAGATAAAGAAGCTAGGTAAGATTTTATGATATATATGTATAAAATATTTTCTTCCATTTTATTAATATTTGTATATATTTAGAGATTATTGGCTTCAATGTTTTGAAGAATTTGTTGATAAATGTGTTGCGAAAGCTATTCTCAGCCAACCCCAAAATCCTACAGCAAAAGATAGAGCAACAAAATTAAAAGAAAAATATATAAATAGATTGCATTACCTCAATTTGCAACCTTTGTAAGTTTTGATTTAAGTAATAATTATCATTAAAATTAATACTATTATAATAACTTACGAAAGATTATTTTAATTATATACTTTTAATACAGTGCATATGGAATTCTTACTGTAAGAACATTGCTGGATACTATTGAACATTGTATGAAAGAATTTGATTTCCCAGATCCTTACCTATATGTAAGTTTTTAAGCTTTTATTAGTTATATTGATTTAGTTTAAATTCTAATTCAGTAATTATAAATTATTTATTATTTACTCACTCTCAATTAATATAATAAATAAATAGCAAAAAAAGAAAGAAAATGAGGAGGCATTAAAACATTTGAAAGATCGTATAACTGTATTAGACAACTTGGATGGAGTAGAAAAAATAAGAGCTTTAATATTAGGAGTTCTTAGTGGTAACATGTTTGACTGGGGTGCAAAAGATGTTGCAACTCTGATGGAAACTACAGACTTTGGTTTTAAGGAAGCACAAGAAAAAATTCCTGGTAAATTTTTAATAAAATAAAAATATATGAAATATTTTTAATATTTTTAATATAAATAACGTGTAGGATTCATTTTAATTGATGTATTGTTCGATTTAGGTAGACCATGGTTAGTGGATAATTTAGATGAATGGATAAATAGACTACAAAATAATGTTGTCCATAAATGTGCAGCTATTTTTGTTGATAACAGTGGTGTAGATATTGTTCTTGGAATTTTACCATTTACACGTGATTTATTGCAACGAGGAACCAAAGTAAATAATTTATGTTACAATAATAGTCACATACCCTAAATTACATTAATATAATCCAATATAATTATATTAAAATAATATGGATTAATCATAGGTTATTTTATGCGCTAATTCTATGCCAGCTTTAAATGATGTGACTTATCCAGAATTAGTTGTTATATTACAAGATGCTGCTAAAATTTCTAAAGTAATTAAAAAAGCTTTAAAGGAGAACAGATTACTTGCTATGGAGACTGGTCAAGCTGGACCTTGTTTAGATTTAAGGTAATATTATTTATAATGATATAATTATATTCACAGAATATTTTAAACATATATATTGTCTTTTATACTTATCTTATTTTTTATTAGTCGACTAAATTTAGATTTGTGCCTTGCAATGGTCAAACATAACGTCGATCTCATAGTCATTGTTGGAATGGGTCGTACACTTCATACTAATCTTTATGCTAAAATGAAATGTGAATGTTTAAAACTAGCAGTTATTAAAAACCGATGGTTAGCTGAACGATTGGGTGGTGATATGTATGCTGTAATATGTAAGTATGAAAAAGCACCACAAAAAACCAAAATTTGTGATATAGATTTAAATATAATTGAACAACAAGTCTGTTCTGAAACTTGTATAAAATCAGATGGTAGTACATGTGTATGTAAGACAGTAAAATTTAAAAATTCGACTGAAGAATCAGCATAAAAAGATAAACATAAAATAATTTAGAAAGATAATTATAAAAATTATCTATTATATATATATAATATTATTAGAAACAAAAATGAGTGAAATATCACTCATTTAAAACATCCTGACTGAACTATTAATAGTATTTCACACTATTCGATGATTTATAACTTTGTTTTATTAGACAAATTTTAATGAAGTTCTAATACAAATTAAGGATTTGAATAATAACTATATAACACTCAATTAATAAAATTTATTTATCTTTTATTTCGCGCTAATGCAATTTAAATAAACTTGTATATTTATAAAAATTAAAAAAAAATCTAATTTTTCTATTATCTATATAATTATACAGTAAGATCTGTATGACAATAATGCTTATAATATTCTTGGTCAAAATCTATTTTAACAACTATTTACTCTTTTTCATTAAAAATGTAGATTTCTTGGAAATTATAACTAAATTTATAAATTGTACATTTCGTAACTAATAACATTAAAAGAACATTAAAAGAACAAATAAATGAAGTTTTAATAGTATAAATAATGGCACTGATAATCAAGGTAGAATTCTTCTAATGCGCGTAATTTGTTATTCGATATTTTACCAAACAAAATGAAAATATAAAATTTGATCGATAAAAAATGTACAATATTGCATAATTTGTTCATAAAAACTTTATTTACAAAAAAAGAAAAAATGACGTAAAACATAAGACTACTAACTCAATATAACTATAATTTATTATAACTATATTGGTTATTTTATTATTTAAAAAAAATCTCAATATATATGACACATCATTTCTTACAGGAAATAAATTTATTCCAATTTTAGTAAAATTTTTAACTATACATTTATGACAATAAGCTATCTGTCTTATTAAACAATTTCATAAAATTAACATAATTTTTAAATATATTATTTTATAGGAAATATATAGATTATATATACACATAAATTGGTATGTACCATATGTAAAGCAATGTACAGTATACTTTTGGAAATAATGTAATAATTAAGTAAAATAGTAATCTATACTTTTACAATCTGATATCTGAAATGGGAGATGATATGAAAAAGAATCTAATTTAGTTTAATCACTTACTTATTAATTTTTCAAGTATGTATATCCATTAGTATATTGAATTCATGATAAGTGAAAATAATATAAACTGAAGTAGAAAAGCATTATCACAGTTTTATATATATGTTACCGTGAAAAATTGAAATTGGAGAAATATTAAATGTATAATATATAAGAATAAGTTCAAATATTCGATTTTTCACCAATAAATTTGGTATCTGTTGACAAGTGACCATATGAATCTGGACATTCTCTAATTTTGGTCTTTCATGGTAACATATACACAGTTTTGTATAAACACATAAAATATAAATGTAACATGTTGAATGCCATTACTAGTTTTGTTACTACTAAACTAAATTTGTTCATGGCGCAACAAGGGATCAGCAGTGACAGATAAAATTAAAATAATTAGAAACACATAATTCGAGTGTTTCCTGGGATTTCTTTAATTTCATAGCGTGGTTTTCTTAATAGGCTCCATGAGTAAGCCATGTACAATTAGCATAGCATTCAATGTGTTAACGAACAATATAATTTTTGCAAAAAGAGCAAAAAAATTGTAGATATATTCAAATAAGAGTATTGAAAAATACAAATTTAATATAATAAAAATATCATATTATAATATGCAAAATTTTAAATACAGTATTAGTAGTTTGTTCTATAAAAATATTCCTGTTATTAGATAATGATTAAAAACTTTAGAATATATAACATATAATATAACTGCAAACATCATTTTGTTTGCTTTATATAAAAAGTCTTGTAGTTACACTTATTACACTACTTTCTATTGGATAATGATGTAAAATAAGATATTATATTTTCTAGTCTTTGATTTAGCTTTTTACAAAATAAAATTAGGTATTAATAACATTGTTTAACGTTTTACGAAACTGAATTACGAAAATTGTCTCAGTTTTTTTTTTTTAACTTAAAGCATGCTAGTTTGTTATATTGCGCAATAATTTTTTGTATGGACAAATTTTTATGTAAATAAATTACAAATGTATTTTTATTAAAATAAACTTGAAAAAAAATATATATATGTCAGCGACTGTACGGAAACTAAAACCGTTGACTGAATTTTTACAATACAGGTACAATGCAATTTTACAAAATAAAAAATAATGTTTTGCTAATATAAAATTGATGTGTGAAATGAAAATTCATAAATAATATACATATATCTTTAACCCATTTGTTAACATTACTCCTGTAACTGCTGCTTTATTTATATATTCTTTACATTTTATACTGCATAATTAAACACATCTTTATTACAGGTATATTTTCTGAATATACTTTAAACATGCAGTACGATAAAAAAAAAAGAATAATTATATTATAATACTCTTAAATTAGATTTAACACAAATGAAACATAAATAATGAAAATAAGAAATATTTGTTTTGAATTTTTTCAAATTGCAATTTTAAAATAAGGTTATGGAACAATATCGCTATAACATATAATCGATTATCGCATATTCTTTGTAATCGATTAATCGTTTGATATACATATATGTAAAATAATGGTAAATCAATTTTGCCTTTTACATTTAACATTGAATAATTATTATTCTATAAATTATCGTATTTCTATTTATATCATAGTATATCAGAAATACTATTAAAAATATATATATTCGTAAAAATATTAGTCAATTTATCTAACACCGATAAGCATAAGTTATTTGTTTTAACATTAATTTATCAACTTCGAGAGATTGACAAAATAAATAATTATTTTTAATTGCTGTAAATTCATAATAATAGTTATTACACAAACGTATTATATCGTAATATTGAATTAATTAAATTATTCAATGATACACACACATTGGACGACTCTTGATTTGATAATCGTACGGAGATATCGATGCTTGATCAAGAAATATCATCATCTTTTATGCGAGCGTTAAAATCTCTTCTAATACATCAATTACGAAATATAATTATATCAGTAACTTTCTTTAATCTCGTTAGCAATATTAAATGAATATATTATATACAGGATGGAAAAAAACGAGCTAGATATTTTTAATATTTATGATAGTTATCGAGATGAATAAAAAGTATCTAATTAATATGGAAGATCAATCCTTTCGATGTAAAAAAAGTAACTTTTATTATAATATTATTTATCCTATTAAATTAATATCTACTAAAGATTTGTATTTTTTGCTTTTCTCCGCGTGCATTCACTATATTACCAAAAGACGATATCGAATGCTCATAAATAATAAAAATTAATTTACATCGAAAGTATTGATTATAGGATCCATATTAATTAGACATTTTTCACTCATTTAAGTGAAAAATTATAATCTTTTAAAATATTGAATTCTTTGTTTTATAACCCTAATTAGGAAAGTAATATTTTACAGGTATATAAATGATTTTTATATTATTTATGTTGTCCTTGTATTTTAAAACGCCTTAATCTATGCAACCCAAATATCAGTGATCTGACAGGTGCCACCACCTTGCGGAATGATTTGTTCATTTCGAACGCTTACAGTGACGTATTCGAAATGGTTATTTCTTTTTAATAAATATTTATCATTATAAGACAAAAAGCATAAAATTCATTAAAAATAATATTAAGAAGAAAAATAAAATCAGGAATACCTTAATGTCTTTTTCATTCCATAAGAAATTGAATAATTTAATAGTATTATATTGAATCAAGCAGTTAAATCTCATTGCTGAGAAAGTCCTTCTATTATTTTTTATTTTCATTTTAATTTTTAAAAAAAGTACACAAAATGACGAATATATATCTTTAACATCATAATAATTATCGATACATATATTTGTCTGATGTTCTTTCCGAAATTATTAAGAATAGAATGTATGAATAATAAATAAATAATTAAGTAAACGGGGGAGGAGGCAACATATTTTCTAGGAACGTCCATGTCAGTTTTACGCTCCCAGAATGCCGATGGTATCTATCTAACGAAAGAAGGCAAAGGGACGTGAGGGGCTCTTTTTACGTTGGTTTTCAGTGAGCTCACGCACGTCGAAGGTGTTCGTCGACGTTCGTTGCGATCTAGATGCCAAAAATGGCGTTTCTTGATCGTTTTACTACAATCAACGAGATCAACATCGATTCCGATTAAACAATCACATCGATTATCAATCTTTTTTTAAGACAACAAAAATAAAAGTAACTCAAGCAAGAAGATCGTTTAAACGGTGCCGGGTTTTTTTATTTGGTCGCAACGATTTTGTTAACGATCAATGAAAATATCTACGGCGTTGTCGTGTGTCTCATTTTCGAATAACGACTTTTAATATTCGACAAAAATACGAAATATTTAATCGAAGGATCAACTTAACGTAAATATATGATATAATATTGCAATGATTTTGTGCGTATATGTGGGTGTCTGTAGGAGCGTATTATTGTATAGGACAAATAATTTTGTTTCTTTTTTTTTAAATGATTTTTCTTAAAACAATCCTTTCGTCACTTATTGTTTCATATAAATGCATAATGCATATTGAATATTTATTGAAACGAAATTTTAATTGATCATATGTTTTGTGTACTTGTTTTGTGTTTAATGTGAATATATCGTGTCATTAACGTGAATTACATTTTCATAACAATTAATAAGATATCTGTTTAAACTATTCGTGGCAAATTTTACCTTATTATTTAGTTACTACTATAATTAATAATACGTTGCATTAGATTAAATTCGTTAGAATCACATATTTCATTACTTTTCTTCTTGACTATTTAACAAACAAAGAATAATTTAAGACACTTTGAAAATTTATAATAAAGAATAACAATACAGATATATAAATACTCGAGTGACTAACGTATTTCTCGTGTACTTGGTTACATTAATCATTACAGTTGTATTCTGTCATTCGTCATCTATTGTTTTACGTAGTACTTCGTAAAAGAGTTTTGTAGTATATATGCGTATATTTGATATATATATGTAAGTGAATAATATCAATCACTTTAATTATGCAAAATTCGACATCAGTTAAAAAACAAAATCAAAAATTATAAAACAAATCTCTGCGAACCGTAGGAGTCGTAAATT